GGGGGGAGAGAAAAAGAAATGGAGAGAGAAAGAGCTTTACAGAACTTTGTGATGCTGAAAAATTAGATGACAAAGCTGCTTCTCGTACAAAGGTGAAATCTTCTTTCGCATCCTAAGAGTTCAAGACAATGTCGACGTACCTGCCAGCTGGGATCAGTGAGGCGGTAATACATGAAGTTGTCGGTGATCCAGTTGTAGATGGAGGACAGAGTTATCTTGTTCTTTTTCGTCGCTTTCATCGCCATACAGATGAGCGTGGCGTACGAATATGGCGGCTTCACATAAGGGTTCGTCTTGTAGTCTATGGCGTCCGGGGAAGTCCCACAGCACGGCGCCATGTCGCCTATCTGAACTCGAGGCTCCAGCTTGGGCAGCTGTGACGTCATCAGAGGAGGAGGGGAGTCTGGAGGCTCTGAAAAAGTGCAGACGAGGAGGTGGGTTATTAATCCTGTCCGCACGTCGTGTTTTACTATCATATCCACACCACGTGGGGGAACTCTGTGCCACCACTTAACCCTGTCCGTACGTCGTGTTTTACTATCGTATCCATACAACGTGGAGAACTCTGTGGGGAAATCCGATCCGTACGCTTTACATAGCAGTCTGTCAAAATGATTTTTTGAGAAATTCTAAAAGTTTCTAAGAGATCTTCGGACTAGAAGTATCCTAAAATATGAAGAATACAACCACGGTGGTACAAAATGACCCGGGGATGTACGGATAGGGTTAAGGAGTTCTGGTGAGAATATTATTGGAAAAAAACAACCCCATAGCAGTTTTACACCACCATCGCTGACGGCTGTTTCGGCCATGCCTTTCAGAGACAACGCAATAAACGTTTTAGGTGTGCAGTAACATATTTATTTATTTATTTATTTATTTATTTATTTATTTATTTATTTATTTATTTATTTACAACATTCTCCCGGGTGTTTACTTTAATGCTAGCAGCTAATTTCAAAATCCAAAATGCTGCACAGTTTGCAGTTACTACTAAACACAAAAGCACCAGATGATAGAATTGGGCAGGGTAAAAAAAGGACAACCCGGGCAGAGAGGAATAAAAGATCCCAGAACAAAGATGGAGATGCTCGTTAGAAGTACTCCCCTGGGAATCAAACCCACGCCTCTTCACCTGACCACTGCACCACAGACGCTGATATATTTTCCCCCAATCGGATCAGGAGAGGCAGAGACGAATAAATATTCATAGAAGGCTGGGAATAGGAGCATTACGAATCTACTTTTGACCTCATCTTTGAGCTTTCGAGACATTTTATAGTAGGCCTATGTTTGTTTTTGTTCATTCTTTTCATTTTACTGAGGGTGTTCAAGCATCTTCCATGGTCACAAAGTCTACTCCCCGATATCTGTGTAGGAGCTCATAGTGCGTCTTTGAAAAATCTTGTGCTTGGGTCAATAAGGGGGAGCTGTAGATTGTTTCTAGGTCATGTAGAAAGACAGCCCTACAGTAATAGCTTAGAACAATGCTAACACCGTTTGGGAGTCTTCGCACGTCACATTAAAGGTGAGAAACCTATAATGACTTTAAAAAACCCGATATAGAATGCAGAATGCAAGGAAGACGCGAGGGCGTTAACAACTTAGATAAATGGTCGCTGTGACAGCCAAAGCCGTTAATCACTACGTGCACTTCCTTATCTCCGCAAATATGACAGATATTGGGCCTACCCTCAGATAATCTCGGCACCTTTAATGCAACTGTAACTTCTTAACCAAATACTGACGGGTATCTTTGTGACCAAACAATATTAACGCTTGCCAAGAAGATTGCTATCGAAACAGTTCAGATTTACTGGGCACTTAAATAATCGTCAACGTTTGCAAGGCTAACGGATAACAATAAAAAAGGGACGGGCAGGCGGGCAATGGTCGCACCGAATAACCTAGTCGCGTTATGGTAATCTATCGGTGTCTGAGATCTCCTCAGGTAACATAGAAGGTCTTTTCTTTTGGTAGGTGTTCCGAACTGATGGGACGCCAAACTCTGCCGAGCCCTACCCCTACCAATGACGCCAAGTAGCACCACTGTTTATAACTAATAACTAAAGCATAATTCTTATTCTTCTTCTTCCTCGTTCTCGATGACAGCAGCTAGACGGTCAGTCCGATGTCGCGCGCACAAACTGTGCAGTTCGCTTCAAATCTGAGAGATTGCCATAGAGCTTTCTCTCAAGGGGGGGGGGGGCACATTTTGTAAAACTTAATGATATCCCTGCTAATTGTACATTCCTACAACACACTACTCTTGGCCTCTATTCGGTTCCAGTGGCCGAGTGGGTGGTGAGCTCATGTTCACAAGTTCTATCACCACCCAGTGTGGCCGACCCGGCTGTTTGATGGGCGGTCACTGGGCTGTGTCTTTGAACAAGGCGCAACAACTCTAGCATAAAAAATGGCAACATTGACTGCCACAGATATGTTATTGGGCGTTATACACGTCACTGAAAAACGAAGTCGGGTTTTTTTCTTTTTTTCTTCTTCTTTTTCTTCTTTAGAAAAAAAATAAATTTTTAGCTTACGTTAACCCTTCATGAAACTTCTTGTTCACAGAACACTATTGATTAGAAATCACTTTTCCATACGGTTCACTTGATAGAAAAAGACAAGATAAAAAATCATTGACGTTTCCACAGCTTCTGGGAGATAAAATTGTCAGGTCGGTTCATGCAACTCGAACTCTTGGTTGGGGCCAAGAAGTTTACAGTTAGTTTTAAGCTCCTTGATTGGGCTCGTTCGTGGGAGTTAAGACTTGGCGATGATGTGGAGTTATCTAAGATGGTTTTATGAGCTATCTTTTACAACCAAAATATCAACAAACAGACATACAAAATAAAACCAAATAACCAAAAACAAAATACTCAAAACATAGAGAAAAATATCCCCTCTAACCCCCC